AAAGAGATGATGATGAAAAAGATGAAAAAGAAGATGAAGAAGAAGATGATGATGAAGAAGAAGATGATGATGAAGAAGAAGAAGAAGAAGAAGAAGATGATGAAAAAGATGGAAAAGAAGATGAAGAAGAAGATGATGATGAAGAAGAAGAAGATGATGATGAAGAAGAAGAAGAAGAAGAAGAAGATGATGAAAAAGATGGAAAAGAAGATGAAGAAGAAGATGATGATGAAGAAGAAGAAGATGATGATGAAGAAGAAGAAGAAGAAGAAGAAGATGATGAAAAAGATGGAAAAGAAGATGAAGAAGAAGATGATGATGAAGAAGAAGAAGATGAAGAAAAAGAAGAAGATGATGAAGAAGAAGAAGAAGAAGAAGAAAGAAAAGAAGAAGTAGAAAAATAAAAAAATTAAAATAACAATAATAAAATGAAAGCAACATCACCATATAACAACACCATCGTTTATCAACATTATCACCATAAGACACCAACGACAAAATCACCAAAAAACTATATTACCCCATCGCATTACGACATCACCATCAGTCCATCACCATTTCATCATTCTACCATAATTTAAATTATTTATAATAAAAATAATAATAAGCGATAATAATAATAATAATAATAATAATAATATGATAAGCAATAATATTAGCAATGAGATTAAGAAAGTACCCAGAGTATGCCACCTAGGTACCACCGCATCACAGTTGAACATCATCACCGCACCATCACCTACATTGATAGCATCACAACAACATCACCATTAAACACCACCATCTTGGCCCAACATCATCACCACCCAGATACAAACAACATCACCACACTACAACACCACCATCCTATCATTCCATCATCACAACCATCACTTCTTAGATATGTGTGGCCAATGCATTCAAAGAAATCGGATCCGGAGCGCCACACCTCTCTTACAAGCATCGACACTCCTTTGCCTCGTCAGACTCCATGCAAACTAAGTGAGAATTACTGGTGTTACATCACTTTTTTTATCATCATTCTCATTCATCACAGGCCCAACGAGTGCTTGGGCCGGCCAAATATTCGGCCGAAATTTAGCATTCGGTTTTGGTAATTTTGAAAGGTTGAATAGTCGTGTGATGCCGTTTCTGTTTGGCTCATCACTTTTTTTGCGATTTCAAAAGAATAGTTGTTGATTTTTATTAGGAAAAAAATTATTTTGGCCGTCCTAGATGTTAAAAGATCTGAATTTGAATGAGGTTGAATATTATCTCGATGAAGAGTTGCAGGGCAAATGTGTGTTCGTCTACTGTTTAACGTTAACAACTGTTTGTTTTTTACTCTCAGCAACATTTGCTTCAGAGTTTTCTTCAAAATTTTTTGTGTTTTCGGTCTACTGGCCTTTGGCCCCGGGTTCGACCAAATAGTCGATTGA